CATCGACCTTATGCTGTTCCACCCGCTCATCAGCCTCGGCCTTAACCACAACAATCTCCGACTTGGCCACCTAAAGTTCCTTGGCTAGATTTTCTTGGCTGGAGACCACCGAGCTCAGTTGAGACTGCAGCTCCTCGATCTTTTTGGCCTGTACCAAGGCCTTTTCTTTTGCAGCCCGAAGCTGGACCTCAGTCGAAGCTAGTTGTTCTCGGGCAGTTTCCTTTTTCGAGGCCAGGCGATCCATATTTTTTTTCCATTCTTCGGCCTCAGCTTTCACCGTGTCCACTTCAACCTGGAGCTGCTTGATCTGGTCAAGTCTTTTTTAAACCTGCGGGTTCGGGTCGTTAGCCAATGTGTCTGAACCGTTGTCACTAAGTTCAAATACTCATCTTACCTACTTGACCAGGTTGGCATGCTCCTTCCTAGCCACTTCTAACTCGGCCTGGAACTTCTCACTAAGGAGCTTGTAAGCATCCCTCTTCTCACTAAGCTCCCAAATCTCGGCCTCGTGTTGGTTTAACTCTTCCCGATATCGGAGAAAAGTTTTTTGGTGAAGTACCGAGGCCTTGCAAACACAAAGAAGAATGTTATGATTATTCAGAATTTAATCTAAGTACATAACAAAAAGGCTTTTGAAGTTACCCGATTCAATGCCTATTGAGCCTCGTTGAAAAGAGAAGGGGCCTCCACCTCGTCTATTTTGGCCCGATCCTCTTCAGTCACCAAGCATCAGAGTTAATTGGCAATCTCCATGGGGGCGGAGAGAACCCGGGCATCCTCCGGTATAGATATGATGATTGACCGCTTCCGGTCAAGATCTGCGTTTGGGACTGGGAACCGATCTACCAATCTCGAACTCGAAGAAGATCCGCTAACTCCCGAAGATGACATCTTCTTTGGCACCGATAAGTCACCTAGCCCGGTGACATCCTCTGAGGCGGTAGAATCCATACCATCGAAAAAGTTGTTAAAGGAATCTGTCGCCCCTTGAGGCCCATCGTTTGGGCGCCCTTTCAGCATCTGGGCCTCGTTTATCATCGAGTCGGTGAATGATGGTGACCCAAAAAGATCTATCTCCCCAAGGACGTCCTTCGGTACATTATCTCCTACTCGAGAAGCACCGGCCACGGTCTCTCTGTCGACCTCCTTAGTTCGGTACAAAACGGGCTCGACCCTCTCAAGTTGAGAGGCCTCGGCCACTGCCTCTCTATCAACCTCCCTGGTTTAAGGCAACTCGGTACCTCTCCTCACGCGGGTCATCAATTCAGAGTCTTCTTCTTCTTTTTCGATCTCATCCCTCAACTGATGAAGCGAGTCCGATGGGAGTTCTCGGGCGCTGGTATTTTCTTTAGATTTCTGCACCAGTTACCTCCTCGGTTTCTTCTTTACGGGGCCCGAAGAACTCAAAGCTTTTCTTCTTTTCTTCTCTTTATCCTGCTTCAGATCAGAGGGATCAGTGAATGTGTCGTCGTCACTAGGCAGAGGCCTCATCTCAACAACTTTTGATAAACATGCAAAGGGAAAGTAAAATAAGTTAGAAATCGACGGCGTAAAGATAAGATCGAATGTAACATAAAGAAAAAATCTCACCATGAGAACGGGCCTCCCACCGGCCCTTCAAAAGTTCGCGCCACGCGCGCTCACCCTATGGTTTTTGCGACACGATGCCCTCGACCCACTCTTTAAATCGAGGTACTGCATTCGGCATTCGAGCAACAACTTCATCACATGTAGTCGATGAGAATAAGGGCAAAAGATAAATAATGAACATAACATTAAAGGGAAAGTTGTACTTACGCTTCATGTTCCATTTCTGGGGAAATGGCATGTCTTCAGCCGGGATTAAGTCCAAGGTCTTCACTCGAACGAATTGACCCAACCATCCTCGGTCCCGATCATCGTCGATGCTCGAGAATGGGGCCTTGCTGGTCTGACGAGCAAGTTTTACTAGCCCCTCTCGATAGAGTCGGGGACTATACAGGCGCATAAGGTGATCGATGGTAAAGGGACACCCCTCGAGTTTGCTCACGAAGAAGAATTACAATCCTCCAAAACGAAGGATGAATCTGCCCGAGAGTCACCTTGTACCTTTTGCAAAAGGCTATAATAACTGGATCTAAAGGACCCAACATGTAAGGGTAAGTGTAAACACTTAAAAAATCCTCCACGTGGGTGGTGATCGATTCCTCGGGGGTAGGGACCACTACGAGCTTATCAACCCAGTTGCAGTCATCCTTGGCTTTCTTGAGGATACTATCGGAGATCAAACATATGTATCTCGAGACCGGCTCGCACCGACCCGGTATCAAGGAGGTTTTCTCAAACTTGAAATCGGCTCCGGTTGGGCACCCCGCAGGGATGAACACATTTAGAGGGGGTTCTGGTGTCGGCTCCTCAGTGGCAACAAACGTAACATTTTCAGTCGGTCTCGAGGAAGAAGGGTTTTCTTTTTGAGGAACAGATTTTGAAGTCTTAGCCATTGCTTCTAAAAAGAGGAGAAAAGAAGGTGCTGATGAAAGAGGAGGCGTAATAAGCAGATAACTTATGAAAGCTTTCAGAAAACGAGAAGGGAAGAAGTTTGAAGATGAGAGTGATGAAGTGTTTTTAAAAATACAAGTGCAAATGTTTGAATGTAAAAGTTCTAATGAATAAATGAAAAAGGTATTTATAGTTTTTTCAAACGGCGGTTCATATCCTGAAGCGGCAAACCATTAACTGACACACATTTAATGCCTTGAAGACTGGACCGACGGGATATTTCAACTATTCTTATCACTTACGTCATGAATTTGTCGTCATTTATCAGAGTGGGAATCAGAAGCTCGTATAGTGAGAATCTGAGGTTCCTATCGTTTCTCGTCATTTACTCTCCGAAAAATGAGGGGACTATCTGTATACAGTAGAATCCGAGCTCGCCTATTGCATGACAGACATAAGGTGAAACATAATGGGTTGAAGATCGACCCTGGATTCCATCGAACCTAGGTACGAGGTTAGAACATGCGCCTTCAAAGATTATTGAGTCCGTGACTCCGGAACTGAATCCGACTCCGAATTAGCTCGAGAGAACATCATCAAACCAAAATAACGGAAAGCCGAAATATCCGTAACCGGTCGCGCATCACGGCGAAAATCTCGGCACGTATCAATGAAACCGCTTAATTAGCAAATCATGAGATTTTTTACCTTATATAGAGTTGTAACTAAAGTATGACTCCCCTACTATATAAAGAGGGTCTGATTATTTGTAAAACACATTATAACACGCATCCCAAAGCTATAAACTGTCATTTCTAGTTATTATTATCTCATTGCTCTGTTCTGGCATCGACTGTAGAATTTTTGACTCGAGGGTGATCAACCATCAAGGACAAGATTGTTCAACTTGTGTGGTTTGCATTTACTTTTCTTATCATTAATTTCAATCTTAACCTGATTTCTCATTCTGTATCAAGTTAGATCACGTATCCTTAAAACCGCGTATAAATTCAATTGTTATCCGTTTTTGAGGGTAAACAATGCTTTTTTCAAAAGTGCTTTTCAAAAAAGTACTTTTGGTGAGAATTAGTTTGTGTTTGGCTAATTAATTTAAAAAGCACTTTGAGCAGTAATTAGTGTTTGGCTAAGCTTTTGAAAACTGTTTCTAAGTGTATTTTTCTCAAAAGTGCTTCTGAGAAAAGTGCTTTTGGGGAGAAACTACATTTTTTTGCTTCTCAAAAACTGCTTCTGCTTCTCCTCAAAAATACTTTTTTTTCCTTCTAAAAGCTTGGCCAAACACCTCAATTTTTGGCCAAAAAAATCACTTTTGACCAAAAAAAAAAAAAAAAAAAAAGCTTGGCCAAATAGGTGTACACAAATACATAAAACATTCTGATTAAACCAATCTCTATGTAGAAAATGACGCGGATGAAGTTATCTTCTAAACAAATTGCAAGAATCTTTTCCTTATATTATCAAATGCATTTAGTAACGATTTTTTTGTGTTTTCAGTTTATTCTTTAAATGCATTCAAATTTTGGTTGTCAGGAGCAGCATGGAAAGCGAGGCTCCACACCCACTCTATTAGAGTACAGCATTGCAAATATACAAAGTAATTTATTTCTTAAGTTGAAGTTATTAGTGGCAAAATATTCAATTTAGAGCAAAAGTAATAAATAATACTCCGCAATTATGCAAAACTCCTAATAAATTACTAAAGACGTTCTTATAAAGTGTCCGATTTTGGAATAAGTAAATGATGATATTTTCCTTACCAAATGTACGACTTGCTTTTTCGAAATATATTTGATTTAACAATAGTTGGATACTTGTTAAATGAATTAGATCTAGACATTTTTGTGTGTGATGCCAATGGTGTTCCAACCATTTTATACGTAACTAATTCCAAAAGATACCTGTTATCTCTTACCATATATATATCGGGTAACTTAGATTTGAAACAAAAAACAAATAGCCAGCCAGATTCAATTTTTACTTTTTTCTAGCACGTATACGTAGATTATACATTAATTATATAAAATTATACATGAATTATATATATAATATACATCCACTGAATATATTTAGTTAAGAGATTACGTGAGCGGCTATTTGGATTAATTCTTCAAACAAAAATCTCATAATTTTTATCATTTCATTGACAACTAGGCTAAAAAGAAGAGCATTTGCACAAGTGGCCTTTTCTAAGGCCATTATTAATTTTTTTCCCCCATGTTAATCTAATGAACTAAAATTGTCGAAAAGAATTTTTTTATCCAAAATTAACTAGTGGTAGGTATGCTTATCGGTTGGCTATTTACGCTTGATGATTCGATTTATCAAATATTGACTTTTAAATATACTAATTCGCTAGCCAATCGATAAGATATTGGTTGGTTCGGTATCAGATTAGTGATTATCGGACATTATGAGTCATACGAGTGCAAATAATAATCCAAAAAATAGTCAACATAATGATAATAGGAGGGCGGTAGCATGTGTAAAGTAACAAATTCAAAATTCAAAATAAAGAGGGGGAAAAGGGAAACCCTGCTGTCGGTGCAGTGCCGTTGCAAAGGGAAAATGCTTTACTTTACGCTCCCCAAATAACTAGTAGTTGAAATTCATCACTGTTATCTCTACCACTCTCTTCGTTAAAATCAATCAGCGTTTAACAATGGAGAAATACGAGAAATTGGAGAAAGTAGGAGAAGGAACGTACGGCAAAGTATATAAAGCAAAGGACAAGGCGACGGGACAATTGGTGGCGCTGAAGAAAACTCGGCTAGAAATGGACGAAGAAGGGATCCCACCCACTGCCCTAAGAGAAATCTCGCTTCTTCAAATGCTTTCCCATTCTCTCTACATCGTTCGTCTCCTCTGTGTCGAGCAAATTGACAAAAATGGGAAGCCCCTTCTTTACCTAGTTTTTGAGTATTTGGATACTGATCTGAAGAAATTCGTCGATTCTCATCGTAAAGGTCCCAATCCTAGACCTCTCCCTCCTTCTCTCATCCAGGTCAGCATTACCCGCTTTCTCTTTGTATATTTTGAAATATTTGTAATTTTTCAGATGTATATCTGTACTCTGTATAGAAAATGTTTATTTCTCTGGTTCTTATTGAAATTTTAAATTTGACGAGTTTAGTCTTAAGGTTTTTAGTAATAAATCCTAGTACACTTTTGAAATTACGGTTTAAGAATTTTACTCATATTTTTGAAATTTTAGCGATTTTTTACATGTGTATTTGTACTTTGCATGGAAATGTTGGGTTGAGTTGAAGACTTAAATTGGAATGGATATGTTTATCGTATTGATTGGTATTGACATTTTTTCCATTTCCACCAGAGTTTCTTATATCAATTGTGCAAAGGGGTAGCTCACTGCCATAGCCATGGAGTTCTCCACAGGTCTATTTTAGTCACTGCTCCCTTGTATTTTTTGCATTTGATTAGTTTAGTGCTAGTCAGACATATGTTTTAATCAGATATACGATTGATTTACTTAAGGTCCTATGCTTTGTAGGAGTCTTTAGTCGTGTTAGATTTATATGCTAGTAGAAAATATAAGGAACTTCTAGTACCTTTATTTTATATTGTATAATATTGGTCAGAGATGTGCTTAAATGACGATCCAATCTCAAGTTGTTGGGATTGAGGCATAGTAGTACTAGTAGTTGTCGTAGTAGTTGTGTTTAGTGTAAATTTTGGTCAGTTACTTATTGTTAATCGACCTTTTATTATCTCATGTCAGAGATTTGAAGCCACAGAACCTATTAGTGGACAAAGAGAAGGGCATACTTAAGATTGCTGATTTGGGCCTTGGAAGGGCTTTCACTGTCCCAATAAAGAGCTACACCCACGAGGTTAACAGTTTTCTCTTTCTTCATACTGGCATTGCCAACTAAATCACCAGAAAGTTGGAGAAATCTGGAAGTTAAAATTAAGTACTTGATTAGTGGAATTGCTCATTTTGGGTCTGTTCTTTTTGTTCAGATTGTTACTCTATGGTACAGAGCTCCTGAGGTTTTGTTGGGATCTACTCATTACTCAACTGCGGTTGATATGTGGTCTGTGGGATGTATTTTTGGTGAGTTTGTTTGAGTTGATCATGCTATTTACTCTTGTAGACCAATTCTCTGCTTAAATTTTTTTGCTTCTTTTAAGTTAGAAATGTTTTCTAATTCTTTGCAATGTTCCTGTTATATGATGCTTTGAACCGTACTCAATCTTAGCCTTTTCTTCTCATTGACTAGTTTCTTGTAGCACTGTTTGTTCGATATGTTTTTGACATGATACTTTTATTATGCTATTTGTAGTTACTGATGGAAATTTAGTTAGACGTAAGTTTGTTCTTATATTAAGTAGAACATGTTAGTTCCATGGGAAGGTAGTTTTAAATGCCATATCTTGGTTTGAACTTCGCAAGAAGTTGGTTTTGGGCACTTTATGTTCTTTTAGTGTCACATTCGCATAAAATTTGTGGGCTTTGAGTTTCTTTCGAGATGTCTTAGGTTTTAAAAATACTTTTTGATCTCAAAGGCTGTTTTTAAAGAATTGGTATAATTGCTAGAGTGGTTGAAAAACACCAGGATTTACATATTAAAGTAGGTATGCACCTTAAGGCTCCTATGACGCGCTTACACCCTAAAGCTAGGTGAAGGATAGGCTGGGCCGTCGGGGTGCTTTTGCCTTAGGCAACACTTTAGTGAGTATGTGTCTCATTGGGCTCTTCTTGAAGAGGATGGCATTAAACAATAAATATAACTGGAAAAGAGATGGATTAATTGTTCAAAAAGGCTTATGAGTACATTTCTTACGTATTATGAAAAGGAATTTAGAAATATAATATAAGATAACTAGTTATTTAACCTGAATTAGAAACTTTAAACTGCATTTTTGCATCTAAAATTCAAATTTTGAGTTGGTTTTAGAACTTAATTTACATATTCTTACTTTCATTTATTGTAGGATTTTTCAATTACTTTGTTCATATAATTATTGGTTGTGTTTATATTCATTAATGGTTAGAGATTTAAGCTCATGCTTTAATACCGGTTTGCACTTAAATCCGTAGCAGGCCTTAGAAGCTTTTATACGCTTTTTGCTGTTGACAACAATTGATACAGCATCTTTAGAAGGACTTCTAAAAAACTCGCATTATTTTTACAACTTATTCATTGAAGACTTTTACCATCTACATTTTTGTTGTAACAGCAAAATAGTTTTGCAGATTAAATTCGTGTAAAGCACTTCTGTGTAAATTCTCAAACTGACAATGTACTCTAATTGGATCAAGTGGTTCAGGCCAAACATATATCATGAATTCTAGATAAACTTTTTTCCTGTGTTTACTGGTTTAAGCATTGGCGAAGAAATGGACCTAAGAAAGAAAATTCTATTAGTCCCTGAAGGGGATGGCCTAGTGGTCGAAGGCAAGCTATATTTCTAGTGAAATTCACTCACTCTTCCACTATGTTGCTCGGATTCTTCGAAAATGTTGCCGGGTGCGTGTCGGATCCTCCAAAAATAGTGTAATTTTGGAGGATCCGACATGGGTGCGGCATCATTTTGGAGAGTCCGTGTAACATAGCTCTTCCATACATAGGTTGTTTTAATTTGCTTTCTCTATGTGATGTAGCCGAGATGGTTCGAAGGCAAGCCTTATTTCCTGGTGACTCTGAGTTTCAGCAACTGCTTCACATATTCAGGTATGCCTATGATCTGTCACCAAGTCTTTGCATTTTCCTCTTTTGTTGCCATTTAGTGTGGTCTGGTAGATGAGAGGGGGTTTACCAACAATGTATATGATGGATTCAGCTTTAACAGTAGCTTCTGGCTTTAGAGTAATTGTTCTGTCGTTGAAGTAGCAAACACTTCAGGCAATGCTAGTGCTGAGTGTCGAGGCGAAAATGAATTTTCAAGTGTGCTTTGCACATAAGATTTTTAGGTAGTAACTAGAATTCAGGATATTATATTATGATACCAATTGCCACATTGATAGTTTGGCTTTCAAATATCCTGCAGAATCAAGGATAGAATTGTTAGATTTTCTTTAAGATAGATGGGCTTTAGTATAGCAGCCAACTTTTCTCTTTTGATAAATTTGAATATGGCTAATGAATTGGTTATCTTTACATATGTTTATGTAAACTGGTGAAGGCTGTTAGGAACCCCAACTGAGAAGCAGTGGCCTGGAGTCAGTTCACTCCGCGACTGGCATGTTTATCCAAAATGGGAACCTCAGAACTTGGCCTCTGCTGTTCCAGCATTGGGTCCTGATGGCGTGGACCTCCTCACGGTAAATCTCCATCTCATCTTATGGATAAAATCTTCCTAGTATAGCAGCTTATGTTATCATTCATATACTACTTCCAATTTTTTGTTATTTTTTCGTTCTACTGCTTCTTGTTAGAACAGTAAATGAATAATGTTATTATTTTTGCTTGGTCATGGTAGAAAATGCTCCAATATGATCCGGCAGATAGGATTTCAGCAAAAGCTGCACTTGATCATCCATACTTCGATAGCTTGGACAAGTCTCAGTTTTGAGGTTGCTTCTACTTCTAAGATCAGCCTTAAGGATCACTTGCATCAGTTCATAGGACGTTCTCAGTCTTGAACAATATCATCTTCTTGGTGATTTGAAATTGGCCTTGTAATCTTTTTCGTGAACTTTAGTTTGTCCGAGTGTAGAGATTAGAGAATGCAAGTTAGGTTTTGACATGCTATATTCTCATTTGTGCTTTGAAGCTGCAAGTTAGGGATTTTATCAGAGGAATTTAACGTTCTTTTTGATCACACATGAAAAATTGGCATTTGATCTTTCTTTTTGGTTCATTATTTTGCTTCGAGTTCTTGATATCTGAAGCAAGTTGCTGGGCTGCAAAAATGATTTCTGCTGGCTTATACTTTGTATACAAGTTCCAATTTACCACACTTCATACATTAAACACACGTAAGAACTTAGAAAGAGGGAATTTTTTATATATCCTTTTGGGTTATTGATTAATGCAGACTTACAAATGTGGTGGTATTAGAAATCGCAGGAACCTTCTCACTTATCATAATGTGTAGCATAATATAAGCATAAATTGTTTGTTCGTAAAACGGTGCAGTTGAATTTGTACATGATTTCTAGACAAGTGAACTAATTTGATCCTGAAATAATGCAATAATTGAAGAAATGTATAATACTTAGCCTTGAAATGTAGATGAAATAGTAGAGATGACAGTTTCGGGAATAAGGTTTTCGAGCACATCAATGATGAGATCAATGAGCAAGAAAATAAGATTGTATTAGGCTTTGTATAGAATATAATATAAGTTTTGTCAGAAAATTCGTGTCCTTTCCAATGATAACTGAGCTCACTATTTATAGTTATGTCTTGGGAAGAAGGTCATATGACCGTGTCCTCCTTTAATGTCAATTATGAGGGTCATTGATGAAGACGTAACGGTGAACATAAATGCCAAATTTTCTGTAACGGACCGTCGCTCTTAATGCTGCATAATATTCCCTATTAAATGCTATCGGGCGCAGAGTATTTAGTACACCTTTATGAACGTTATCCTTTCTAGTGACAAGTGGAATGGCTGCGTCCAGTCTTCAGCCATCCTCGTCTTGGGTTCCACGTGTCTTCCCTTTATACGCTCAAATGTCATATCATATTTCACCCTATACAGATAGTCCCCCTACTTTCCGGTGACATAACTTTGTGTTACTGGGAAGTTGGTAGAAATACATTTTTTGGCGGGAATTACCATAACTTCCTTTGAAGGTTCCTGACAATTAATTAGACGCACGTCTCTCTGTATTTAATGCCCCGAACATGCGTCATCCCATGATTCAACACAACTTTTGCCGATTATCAAGGTGATCATGGCCACGAATTTAGCCGCCAAAATTTTACTTATACGCGACATTCTTTTCCTTTGCGTTTCATAATTTCTCGAGCTTTTGATTTGCATCTTTATTTTCCATCCTTTCTCTAATCTCTCTTCAAACACAACATTTCCTTCTTTTTTTTCAATGGCTTCTTCCTCCAAGCATGCTGGTTCTTCAAAGAACAAGAACAAAGTCGAGAACTTTGCTCCTTTAACGGTGGATTCCATCATCCCAAAAAAATTCAGTACCACAAAGGACCTTGAAGAGAAATTCCCTCCTGCTAACTCTCGTACATGGGCTATTAATAGGTACCCTTCTTCCATTCATCCTTCCAGTTGGATATCATTGCTCCTGATCTATCGGAGCGAGTGACCCTTCCCAAGGAAGGTTTATATACTTTTACATGTATCCCTTTACTTTGGGTGGGTTTTCTTTGAGTGGAGAGCTTGATTTCGTGATTGCGGAGTTTTGCCTTCGCTACCAAGTGTGTTTGGCACAGGTAAGTCCTTCAGTGTGGAGGACGGTTGCCTGTCTTTGACGCTTGTGCCAAGAAACTAGAGAGGAGCTAATCTTAGCTCATATAATGAATCTCTATTCTCCCAAAATCTTCCGTGGGAGAATGATAAACCTCTGCAAGCATGGCCATCATGCTTTACTATCTAGCATGGATGATGATACCGACCGTGGGTGGATGGAACGATTCGTTGCAGTCACAACCAATGACATCATTCCAACAACGGCTTCTTCTTTTCCGGTCGTTTGGAACCGCACTTGTAAGCTCTTTGTTTAGTATTTCTTTTTACTAGATATTCTTTTATGGCCATATCAACTCTTCACCCTTCGCATGTTTCAGCAACTCGATGGATCCCACCGGTGGTAGAAGGTTTGGACCAGTGGGTTCAGAAGATCTTGAACGTTACGACGCCAGAAACTCGTTTGTGGAAAGAACTGGCCCTTAAATACGGGTGGAAGGCCAAAAATCATGGTAATTCTAGTTTACCTTGCTTCCATTTTTTTGTATATGGAGAACTTGGTTGAATTCTTCTGACTTGTTCACGAAACTAGGTTAACATGTAGGCTCTGTTGCTGTCCCCGTGAAGGACGTTTTGGCTGATCGTGCTGATGCAGCGAGGCTGCTTCAGGAAGCACTTACTCGAATAGGTATCTTCGGGCTTGTTTCAGGCGCAAACACCTCTTTACGGAGTCCCCGGCCGGAGGACAAATAGCCAAAGAGAAGACGTTCCTCCGTGGCCGGGGAGAAGAATAAGAGGGCAAAGAATGATGCCCCCGAGCCATCTCCGGTGGCGATGACGACTGGTCCTCCTTTCGGGCTGGTCATAGACACCGTGATGATTGACGACAATGAAGAAGAGTGATGAGGGAGCTTCTCTATATAGAAGGCGTCGATTCTCATCATCTTAATAGGATGCTCGGCCCATTGAGATAGTTACACCAACTGAAGACGATGTCTCGACAATTTCGGGAGAATTTGATTCGGTAAAAAATTCCAACTCCCGTTTTCGGGCCCAAATTGCTCTAACCGGTTCTGTGGAGTTGAGTATCAGGTCCTTTCCGTCTTTGGTTGGCGGGCATCCAACAGTCAGCACTGCATTTGATGTAGCTGCTTCTCACTCTTCAACTCCATCAGCTTCATCCCCACCTTCACCAACACCAGTAACAGCTATATCTCTTCCATCTTTATCCACTCTTCCAACAACAATTGCTACATCACCTCTATCGGCCGCCTCTGACCATGAAGAAGGTGTTCCTCTTCCACAGTCCCCAGTTGATGGGATTTTGGGGCAAAATTATGATGCCTCTTCCAAAGACTCACAAAGGAGGAGGAACGTTACTCTTTCGGTCTCTAACGGATGCAACTTGCTATCCCGGCCGATGGAGCTTGCTAATTATCTGAAACCTTTGGCTTCAGAAAAACACTGGGAAAAGATTCAAGCACTCTCGGGAGAGTGCCGAAAAAGTGACTAACTTAGAAGCAGCCTTGAACTCCAAACTCGAAGAGCTTGCTGCTGTGGGGGTGAATCACGCCCAACTAGAAGAGAAGTACAAGAAAACTATTGAGCATAATAGGCTCTTTAGTTCAATTGTCCGCGACCTTGACGTTAGCCTCAAATCTACTAGGTCTGCCCGGGAAAGCCTTTCTGCCGAGGCTACCCAACTCAAAGAAGAACTTAAGCGCTGAACGACTTCCTTTGTTGTTGAAAAAATGTATTTCATGTACAACATGAGGGAAAAAACCTTGGAGGAGGCCAAAGCTGGTATCATCGACTTTGATGCCAAAATTGCTAAGGCACTAGAGCTTGAGTTAGCTGCTAAAAATGGACTCCCGATGCAATCTGATGCTCTAGGTTCTTCTGGCTCCGATTCAGAGTTTTTGAAAACTGAAAAGGGATCAAAAGGTGACGATGTTGAAGACCAAACTGGGGAAAATGTCGAGCCATCGGTGGACCCACCTACTTCTCACGGGAATGCGGACACTTCTCTTCCTCCTGGTTCCGGAGGCACTGTAGTTTGCTTTTCTTTTCTTTTTCCCATTTTGAACTTTTACTGTTTTGGCACGTTCTTGTAAATAAATACATATTTTTGCTCAAGTATCGTTTGAGTCTTGCTTTTGTCTGAATATCCATGCAAGTCTTTAATCTTTGCATTTGCTCAAGAGTTCAGCGCATATTTTCTTGTTTGCGCTTCACTATGTGTACTTTTGAATGTGTTTTCTTCGAAGCATTTTGGTTCCGAGCATTATCTCTTTTACGTGAGGGTTTGTATAAGTATTTGCGTAAGTTTACTCTTTGCTTCCTTTTCATATGTGGCTTCGGGTGTATTTTTCCCCGAAGGCATTTTTGATTTCGGGCATAGATTCTTCCAGAACCAACCCTTTAACGTGAGGGTTTTTATAAGAGAGTGCCCTCTTATGTTTACAATGCTCTTGAAGTGGACGTCTCCTGTTCATTACGACACTAACATTTGAAGTATTTGTTTAACTTTCAAATTACGAAGTTTATTCACCGTTCAGATAAGAAATAAGATAAAAACAAAAGGATTTCATTTTATTCCTTCTATTTTCAAAAAATATATAAGCACTTGCTATGATCAAAAGAAATTGCCATTACTTGTGGCTATCTTGTACAAATTATTTCAACGGGGCTGGCTGCGCAGTCCTCGATCTTGATGATACGTTTAGTTTTCGGATTTTTGTTCCTCGATTGACGTGGCAATTGTCATTGTCATATCCTCATATCATTTCCCCCCAGTGTTCGAATGCGAAGAGTGCGAATTGGAACACTGGAAGTCTTGTATCTTCGAAGCTTCCACTAATGAATTGCTAGATAATCCTCAACTTGGTAACACAACTTTACTTCCCCTCATGAATTTATGCTATCGAGCGAAGGAATATCTAACAACCCTCTAGTGGTTTGTGCTCGTGAACGGTTGGGTAACCTTTGTTCGGTAGCAAACTTAACTTCCCAGTGAGAATTTGCTATCAAACCAAAGATTTTCTAACCATCTCCGAGTGTAAGCTTGCTTGTTTGCCTTGCTACCAAAGGTCTTATTGCTGCTGTCTTCATAGTAGGCTCTATGTTGCTGCCTCATTAAAAACCTTTCTAGAAAAACTCAATTGGGACAAAAACTGGATGAAGAAAAAAAGAGTGCAACACATACTTTATGCTTGAATGATGTTGATCAACAATAATATCTTTTAAGGCGTGCCTCGTTCCAGTTGCTAGGCAACTTGTCTCCATTATGGTTCTCCAACTCGTATGATCCAAGTCCCTACTTCCACTGGGATTAGGGCTTCAGCGCTGTACACAAGGGAAAAAGAAGTCTCTCATGTACTCGATTTGGTCGTTGTTCGGTAGGCCCATTAAAATTCCAGGCAACTTTTCGGGCCATTTGCCTTTTGCCGCTTCCAGCCTTTTCTTGAGGTTTTGAATAA